TTTTTTTTTTATCGCTAGGCATCCCTGTTGATGTCGTAGTCAACATTTTTATCAACAGTTTTGGATCTATTCAAGAGACAACAATGGTAAGACTGCAATTAATTTAACATTTTTAAGTGTCAGAATTTTAACTATAGGATAGTGGAAGAAACTAAAACTGAAAAATAAGTAGTAACTCTAAGGAAAAATGCATATTTTCTCCTGGTAACCAAATTTCAGGCTTTTGTTAAATCAGTGATTTCAATGCCTTTGCGATTTTGCAATTCAAATTTAGTCTTAATACTTCATTAAAACTTCCAGACTTGGGAGAATTAACATACTCACTCTGTATAGCTGATTGGATACCACCTGGGAAAAGGACTTAGTGAAGTATCTTTTTCTTTACATTTCTAGGTGACTTTATATATTTTTAGGTTTTATTGGAGGGGGAGGTAATTAGATTTTATTTTTGGAAGCGGCACTGGGGATTGAACCGAGGACCTTGTGCATGCATGCTAAGCATGCGCTCTATCTCTTGAGCTATACCCTCCACCCAGAAAAGGATTTAGGCAATGAATATTCGGAGCAATATTTTTTCCTAATAAGCGTATGTGTATGAGCATTTAAAAATATTTGAGTGTTCATAGTTCTTTTCCTTCCAGTTTCCTCAGAAGAATCTTTGCTTCCTCTGTTGTGATAACTTTGTGATGTGTGGAGTAGAGAATTGTGAAAATCAAGTTTGATTTTCCTAAATTAGGGCCGCGGAGCATCCTGAAAAGATTATGTAACAGGGAGAAAGGGCCAGGAAAGGCCAAGAGGAGCCGGAGGGAGGGACTGTCAGGCTCTTGCCTTGAAAAGAACAGAAAAGAGAGGCTTGGGGAGGAGGGGCGGTCCACGATGAGTTGGGCTTTAGGACAAAAAAGAGCCCCATCTGGGAAACATGACGAGTAGATTTCCTGAGTGATGTGTGATGTGATTACCCCTCCACTTCTCAAAAGACATTCAGTAAAGTCTGCTTGGCATAATAGTGTTTAGAATATTAGATTTGTACCCTTTTTGAAAAGCCACGTGCTGGAATGATACTTCAGGTGGCTGAAAGAAGCTTAAGGGTTTTTTTTTTTTTAAGATTTTTTTTAATATTTTTCTTAAGCAATAATATACAGTTTGGATTGAAAGCTGAATAGTAATGGTTTGAGCACAGTATAGTTTGTTGGGGACTGTCTCAGACTAGAGAAAGAATGGTTTTAAATATTTATTCCTTTATTCCTAGTAGCAGCATAGTGTGTAATAAAAGCAATCATATATTGCATTTAAATTATGACTCCTATTTTTATATCTAATTGTGATGAGATTGTTGTTTGTTTTTTATAGAAGCATTTATTTAGCACCTGAATAATTGATTTTTAAGAGAATATGTTGATATACTGTTTTTTAAATTTGAAATCAAGTCCAAAATTCACTTACAGTGACGTTTTAGTTCACCTGAATGACTGTATGTCTAGTATAGTATAGATCACTAAAAGGCAGGTCTGAAATAAAATATAGATGACCACGTGGCACTCAGGAGACAAGGGTGGCACTCACTAATTGAGAATCTGATTTGTCTGTCTAAGTACTTCACTGAACAGGAGTGAGGGATGTCAGTTTCTGAAGGTGAGACTTTAAGGGGATCTGCTTCGTCTCCATACTCTTCTCTGCACCCTGTTTTATCCTCCGTGACGCCACCCCACTAACCCAAAGCACCCCAATCACGCTGTTACAGCCGGTCGGAAACATCCTCGACTCTCTTGCATTTGAGGACAATGAATGCAAGGATTTGTTTTCTCACTTTCATAAAGGCTACACATGTGTCTCGCTCCGTAAGTATCATTAATGTGTCTGTTCTCTAATACATACTGAATAGCTTCCAAATATCAGACACTACACTTCTCTCCCATCAGTAGTTACTTGAAGGAATGTTAGGAACAGAGTAAGAATTTCCTTACAGTTTATTTGAGGATTCTAATGAAACATAGAATAACTTTCCTCATAATCTTCTCCTGTTCTGCGCACTCTTCATGGTAGGGCGCCCAAAACACCCAGTGCTGGGACCGGCTTCGACCAGTTTTCAGCAGAGTTTCTGCCTCCACTACTTACCTCCTATCTGCATCTCTCATCCTCGAATCAGTCTTTCACTGCTTTGTGCTCCTCTGACTCATTCTGTGCCCTCTTTCATTTTATTTTGTTTTTGAGGGGGGAGGTAATCAAATTTACTTATTTATTTATATTTTTAAGAGGAGGTACTGGGGATTGAACCCGGGACCCTGTGCATGCTAAGCACATGCTCTACCATTTGAGCTATACCCTTCCCTCTGTACCCTCTTTCCAGTCCACGCCTTTCGTCTCTGTCATTTGTTGGTTAAATCTGATGGCTTCTTCACTGTAATTAAACTAACTTTGTGTGTCTTCCTTTTATTCTCTGATGGACTGTAAACCTCTCAAAGTCAGGAATAATGTATCCTTCTTCTTCATTTTCCGTAAAGTACAGAAGACAGTAGGTCCTCAGTTAGTGAACGCTATTAACTGATACTGATTAAGCAAATGAACAAATAAATTCTGCTGTTTTCCCAGCGAAAAGTGAGTCAAGCTAGCTGTAAGAAAATTGGCAGAGGAAATTTAGACAACAGACTCATGTGGACCGTTTATTTGGTAAAATAACAGAGTAAATAATGTTATCATTGTAGAATGTTAATTTTGTCAGTTTTAGAGACCTTTATGCAGAGGAGCCAAATTATTGATACTTGTGATTTCTTTTGATGAATAACCTGCCTGTGTTGTGCAGATACGGCCTGAAGTTTCAGAATCGGAGCCATATTCATCAAATAGATGAAATAATCTACTTTATCACAATTACTATATTTTGCTTTTGGCAATGCTGATTTCACACATCCCTATAAGACAGAGTTTATAGGTGTGTCTTTTGAGGCTGTCATATTTTATAGATTTGCTCTGTCTTTCCAAACACAAATGCCCTAATAACTTGGTGCTTAATAGTTGGAAACGATACAAGCTATCATAGGTATAGAGATAACATTAAGATGTCTTCTAAGGGAAAAAAGAATGTACCTAAGACAGAACTTTTTCCCCGTTACCTGTGAAACACTGGTCAGGAATGTTAGTGATGACTCAGGAAGGTAGCTAAACAGGTATACGTGTGTGGCTAGGAGTTTTATTATGAGACGGTATTTCCTTCTTTGTTCTTCCAATCACCCACTTGATTATTTTTATTTTAGCTTTATTGAGGTGTAATTGACAAAGGAAATTGTAAGCTATTTAAAGTGTATGTGATGATTTGATAGGATTTCTCCCATGAAGTTAATTAACATGTCCATCACCTCATGTTTATCTTTTTTTTTTTGTGATGAGAACAATTAAGTTCTACTCTCTTAGCAAATTTCAGTTAAACAATATATTATCAGCTAGAGTCACTGTGTAATACATGAGAACCTGAGACCTTCATCTTGCAACTGGAAGTTTGTACCTGTTATCAAACTCTCCCCATTCTCCCCCCCCTCCACCAAGTCCCTGGCAATCACTTTCCTACTCTCTGTTTCTGTGGATTAGACTTTTTATTTTTTAAGATTCAACATGTAAGTGATACTCTGAATATTGGTCTTTCTCTGTCTGGTTTATTTTATGTAGCATAATGCTCTCCTGGTCCATCCATATTGTTGCAAATGATAGTATTTTTGTCTTTTTTAAGGCTGAATAATATTCCACTGTACATATATATACCACATTTTCTTCATCCATTCATCCACTGATGGGCACTTAAATTGGTTCCTGTTTTGGCTGTTGTGAATAATGCTGCAGTGAACATGGAAGTTCAGACATCTCTTCTAGATCTCTTGTTTCCTTTGGATATATTCGCAGAGGCTGGTTGCTGGATGAAATGGAGTTCTGTTTTAAATTTCTTGAGGAATCTCTGTGCTGTTTTTCACTGTAGCTGTGTCAGTTTGCATTTCTACTAACAGTGTACAGTGATTCTCTTTTCTCCACAGTTTTCCCAGAATTTGTTACCTTGTGTCTTTTTGATAAGAGCCAGAGAGCATATTTCTCAAAAACAAAAGAAAACAAAAAGGCCTCCTGAAACAAGAGGCTGGAAAAGCAGAGAGCATTAGATTTGTCTAAATGCAGAATATATGTTCAGTTAAACAGTATGATGTGGACAGCATGTGAGTTGTGATATCAGACAAGCTTACTTGATGTGTTATACCCTAAAAAGAGTGAAAAAAAATGACAGAATTAAAGCAACAGTATTTTGCCTGGCACAGTAACTCTCAGAGATGGTGACTATTTGGTTGACTTGCAATTGCAAATTAATGTAATATTTCAAAATACAATCTCATCCTGAAGAAAATGCTAAAGAAAATGAACCATTAATGTTTATTCAGAGCCCCACTATACGGTTGTGGTTTTGTTTATTAATAGCCCCTTAGAAATCTCCCCAACAAAGACCTGCTAACATGAAGAAAGCCCTAACACTTGGAAGTTTCAGTATTCCCAGTGCTATCCTGCCCAGCTCAGATCTTTCTACTTTCTCAAGGGGCAGTTTCTTGTTCCAGAAGGCATGAGGTTAGGAGACCGAGCTTGGGGGTGGATGGATGTGAGTCGCTGCAAGCCAGATGGTGGACAGATGTGGGCAGCTTCAGAGGGAGGAGGGCAGCCCTTTCCTCTAGGATATAAAGTTGATTATCAAACAAGAAGCAATCAAGGTGATAGTCACTAACATTGCTGTAGGGAAATTTTAGCCAGCTCTGTTTGGAAAACATTCCTTCCTTCCGGCTTCTTTGTTTCTTAACTCTGGTGCTGTTGATGACTAAATTCAAAGGAATCTCACATTTATTCACAAGCCATAATTGTGTAGTGGAAGAAAAACCACAGCTGTCTTAATAACTCCGCGAGCTCTCCTGCACGTCCATGGTCCTGCGCTTGTGTGATGATCTCAGTTTCTAGCTTTGTGGTTGCTGTTTCTATACCTGTGTGTTCGTTTGCATTCGGCTGCCTTACGTTTCCATACGGTATCACTATTAATACTGTAAGTGATATTTACTGGCATTAATGGTCG